GGTTGTTGTATTGGTTTGGGCCTAGGTTTTTCTCTAGGACTATAAGGAATATATTTTTGGGAAACTGTTTCAGTACTAATTTTGGTTTTCTTATTTTGCAGGGAGGAGCCCTCTTGTTTGGATTTTTGTGGCTCTGTCTGTCTTGTTTTTGCTGATTGTTCTTCTTGCTGTTCTTAAAAAGCTGAAGCGTGATAAAGGTAACTTCTTAATTAGTATCCTTGATATTTGCTCCCCAGAGTTAGGCAAAACATGCACTCGGGCTGTCCCTGGTTCTTGTGTTGCCTTACAGGGGACCTGTGTGAGCTTTAGCTCCTTTAGCATGTGATTTGAAATTAGCGAATCATGTAAAATGAAGAGTAGTTTTGTTTGGTAAATAAAATGCGTAATCTTTTACTATGAGCTTTCTTATCTTGCTGACAGATGTCTCTGCTTCAAAGCAACATTACTGTATGATCCTTTAAAGGGAATTCTCCAATCTACTTGCCTTGTACTGGCCAAGTTGAAAAACCTGTGTGTGGATCTGATGCATGGGGCAAAAATAGCAACTAATTGATCACTAATTACTTTCTCTGTGTTTGGCTTTGGAGTTTATTTTTGTACAAATTGGTACCCTTTAGTCATTTGAACCTCTTCATGTCAATGTTAAGTCCTGTGTGAATTTATTTTTTTAGTGGAAACTGTGCTGTTTTCCTTGGAAACTTCTATTTTCACTGCTGTGTATTCAATAATTTTTGCTACTTGTGTGAAAATTATTCTCATTTTTAAATGCTAAGTTTGTTGAAACCATGTCTTACTGATTGTATTGCAGTAAAGACCATTTCTGCCTTCTGTATTGCAATAGCCTGCAACAATGCTGAGAAACAAAAGCTGGAGGAGGTTGCAAGAGTGGCTTAACAGCTGAACTGCATCTTGTCTGCATTTTACTAAGCAGGACTCTTTTCTGTATTAGGGTTAGCACAATGTTTGTGTTGTTGGTAGAAGCTAAGGGTAGTACTGTGGTGAAATGCATGACAGGTCAAAGAAACCAAATGGCTTTTAAAGCTTTGCTGTGCTACAAAATTTTCTATTCCATGTATGTCTTGTGTGAATTCAGCCATGTTTTAGTTGCTGCAATTCCTTGGTTTCTTAGACCCTTCTTTTGTTTTTCAGCTGCCTTAACTGATAAAGTTGCAGAGGGGGATCTGGTAAGTATGTGATGGATCAAGTGTTTCATCTCAGTCTAATTGTACCTGATACACAGCCCTCAATGTTTGTCTCTCTGTAGATCTCTGGTAGGATGTGTTCCTGTGATGCAACAAGTTGTGATTCATACAAGGTCCAATGTTAATTAGCAATTGCATGATACATTCAATATCTGCATGTGTCTGCTGCACTTGGCCTTGTTAATACCTGGAAACATTTCAGAGCCTCTGACCAGGATGCTTTGGAAGCAGGGAAAAATCTTGGGCTAGCTGCAGGTTTTTACTTCAGACTGTCTCCAAGTGATACTTTAGTCCAATTAATTTAGTTTTTGCTGCTTCACATGTGTATTCCCCAACTGATGGCAGCTATTGTTTATCTGCATGGTGGTGTTTGAGTTCTCATTGCATTGTGACTACAAATTATTGTTCATAAGACGTAACCACTCCTGATCCAGTAAAGTGCTTGAGTCTTCCTGCCTTTGGGCTCATGTCACAACCTACAGACCAGGACCTGACAATCTAAATTCTTGGTCTTAAGCAGTCCCAAAAGAGGAGGGGGGTTCAGGGCTCAGATTATGCCAGTCCCAAAGTCCATCCCTAAAAAGGGTTTATCCAGTTGAGGCTGGCTGCTGGCATATGTTCTAACTTGAAGCTGGTTAAACCCTGGCATCCTGTAGTCAAACACTATTTCACAACCTTGCTGTTTGAGTCTGAAGAAACCTATTGCTAGTCTAGCTTTCTGCAAGATAAATACAAAACTGAATAAAGTAAATGTGAGCTAGCTTTAGGTTTTCTAGTCAAGCTCCATCCCTACCAGCACCACAAGGCAAAAATGAGCTGTCTTAGTTTTACACAACAAACATTAGTCTTGATGAGGAACTATGAAAAAAATCCAGACTGTTCTCAGTGTGTGTACAGCACTTCTTTCTCCCTGCAACTTCTCTTGTCCTTCACCCATGCATGACCCACCTAGTATATGCACTCTTTTCTAATGTTACTAATTAGACATTGAGTAATTAAATGCATTTTAATTTTGTCAAAAATACTTGAAGACTGAAGAAACAGAATTGAAAGAGATGTTCAAAAGCTCACCCTAAACTTTCCTCTTTTTCTTTTTTAAGGTCCGTAAGTGGCTCAAATATGTGACACAACCTGGTTTTTTTGTTGGGTTGTGTTCCCCCTCACGCCCTGGCCAGATTTGCAGCACTTCATCTGTTTGTAGAAGCTGATGAAGAAATGTGAAAAAAACCCTGGTCAAAATGCTGTGCCATAGGAATAGGCAAATGGAACATCTCTTTAATTTGAATAAAGTGGTTGTAGAATGATGCAGTTATAAACTGGTGCATGTCTGGTGCATGGAAAATTCTCTCATGTAAGAGCTGCCACAGGCAGGTGCAAAGTCTGCACTTGGAGTGCTTGTGCTTCTATAACAGCTTATTTGCTGAGGAGAGTGGTACAGTGATGCAGTCCTGATACTGAGTATTTTGGCAACTACACACCTTCCCTCCCAAGAATCAGCGAGTTCATACTGCTCTAATGCCTCCAACAACTGCTGATGCTTGAATAGCTGATGCTGGATTTTGAAACAAAAGTGTCAGCCATGCTGTGCTCTTCCAGTCATTTGTTTTCCTGTTTAAGAATTGTCCTGTATAAATAAGATCAATTTCTTTAATGTGTTTCTACCCTTAAACAGATAGTGTTTTCAGTGGGAATGATATACAACTTACCTGTGTGATAGTTGGGGGGTTCTCCCTTATGTCCCTGCTTTTGCCCCTTGGTCAACGGCTGGTGTCACTTTGGGTTACTGTCCCTGTGTAAGCAGAAAACATGCTGGCTTATGCTTGCAGGGGGACTGCACCTTAGTGAACACGAGTCTCAGGGGCAGGTATTTTCCACATGTATAAACATATTTCTAAAGCTTGCCAGCTTTAGCACTATTAGTCATGCTAAACATGTGCCTCTGCTTCGTGCTTGTACTGTTCATGCTGACTGGTGCTGTATTCGCTGTCTATGCTTGTTTATTGAATTGACAATGCCAAAAACGAAGGGAGCTTCCAACTTTGCCCCCTCACAAAAGCTATGCAATTTACATGGGTGCTCACTGGCTTCTTTCAGCTGACTGTAGTTTGTGAATCTCCAGGAAAGCTAATCCAGCCACAGACAGCCCAAGGCAGTGCACTTCCATGAAGCTGATAGGCTCTGTAGCAACAGTTCTGAGAATCAGCCTTGACATAGTACTAGGCCAGAGGCCCCTGGTGCTGTTAAGAGCTCAGCAAGGCAATTTAATTGCCTCCTGTCCTAGGAGGGGTACCTACCTCCTGTACCCAGAGGGGGAGCAAGAAGCAATCTACATCAGTAAAAATAATAAGAATTTCCTGTGGTTGATGTGGAGGTAACTTGTGAGCCTTACCCTGCAGTCTGGTGGGTGCAGAACAGCCAGGGAGGTGGAGAGTCAGGCTCTGAAACCATTTGAAGTCTAATTGTGTGAAGGCCACAATTTTGCCAAATTAAGGGCTCTCCTTTCATTTCTCTGACATCTGATGTCTTCAAGTATTTCCTTTTCTTCCCCCAGAAGGAAGTAGCAGAAAATAATGTGGTTTCTGAGCAGGGCACTGGCCCATGCAGGAGCTGGAAGTGCTGTATGAGAGCAAGTTTGAGGAGAATTGCTAAGTCTTCTTTGGCAGCAAAACTTGCCCAGAGTTCTTCTTTTCAGTAGAATGCCCTGTCTAATGTTCCAAGTAGAACTCCAGCAAGTTGTAAGCACTGTATGTGTGTGGAATTATCATTGTATTTTCTTAATGTTGGTATGCCTTCAGTTGAGCTCAACTATTCCTAGAGCTTTCAGGCAAAACAATAGAGGAAACTTTGCCTTAAAGATGTAATAGGAAGCATGGAAAGTGCTATCTTTGGGGGAAAAAAATCTTCAATCCCTCATTTAATTTACTCTGCCTCTTTCATCTCCCTGACAGAAGCTACCCTTTTGTGATAGCAGCGAATGCTGCCTTGGAGCCAGTCGCGTGTTTTTTTCACCATGCAATTTTCTTTACTCCAGTACTTTCAGGTCTGCTCTGAAATATGCCCCCCTTCCCCTTTTTGCTGTGTATGCTGTAAAAGCAAGCTGTCAAGTAGGTAAAAAACGATTGTGAGTGAAGCACCCTGCTTTGTTGGAGTAATGGTCCAATTTTGTATTACAGGTACAAGAACCAAGTCAGATAATTGCTACAGATCTCTCTCCTAGTGGTAAGTATTCCATATATTGGCAGTACTTGGGACTTGGTTTTTTTTTCCTGTTGACTTTAGTTGACTTACAGAGTAGTATAAAGAGGCTAATGAATATTGCTTAGAGCTATAAGGCTTCCAGTTTATTGTAAAATATGCTGAAACAAGATTATTGCTGCATTTGTAATGCTGGTGGTGAACTGTTCTACTTTGGAGCATGACTTTCCTGCATGGGAGTAGAGCGTAGCCATGACTTTAAGAATAAGAACGGTACAAATTTTGGAAAGAAATTTTAAAGCAAGTCTGCATTGCAGCAGTGTAGCCTACTTTACTGAATGAGGTGTATGTCAGAGTGAGAGATCTCTCTGTCAAATATCCCCTCACGTGGAAGAGCACATGAAACTCCCACACATCCACCTGTACCCTGCAAATTGTTGTGCTGGATGTTCAAGTGATGGGTTTTGTACATGGTGGTCTTGTTGTGTCAAACCTATGCCAGCAGCATAGCAAAGTGGTTAAAACTTCCTATTTAGTAGCCCTGCCAAAGAAACATACCAGCCAATGAAGCCTTTCTCTAAACCACCTTTACTGGATGGTACCCTGCCTTAGGAGATCACTTCTGAGATGTGCACCAACACCTTTAGCTAATTTCAAGACCCCTTAGTAGAAAACCTGTTTGTCCTGCTGCTTCTTAGGTGCCAAATCCTTCCTTGCTGCTGCTGTTTAATGCAGGTATTGGCTGAAAATTAAGGGGAAAGTATGTATGTGGGCTATGGAAAGAAACCCTTGTGTTTTAAAAGCCAAGCTGATGTGTGCTGTGTGTTTCTTCTTGCAGAACTGAGAGAACCCTCTGATGTCTTTATAGAGGAAGAACTACCACAACAATGTGGGCGGCTTATGAAAAGCTCAGCTACAGGAAAATGATACTGAGACAATCACTTATAGTATTATTTTTTGTACTATTCTTCTATTATTTATTCTATTATTTATTCTACTATTACTTATTCCTAAGAATAGAGAGCAATTCTATCAGATGCTTCTCCTCTGGAGAAACAGTCTGAGAAAGCAATAATGTATTATTAATTTACTGGATGCCTTGCGGTGTATAAGATATGGATATTACAATATGTCAAACACTTTAAAAGGTAATAACATTATAAGTAGAAACTGAAGATGAATATTTGTGATGAACTGCAAAAATGTTCCTGTGTACATATGTGTGTCTTCAGACTTCCTTTAAATGAGGGTGTCAGATACTGCTAGTAGAAATGGGATTGACACCCTCACCTCTTGCAGAGAGCCGGCAGGGATGTAATGGCTCTGCTATTTTCGTGTTTACCTGCCCTGCCTACCTTTGAGTTGTGCAATATTAAACTCAGGTGCCGGATGTTCACTTGGGCGCCAGGAGGTCGGGCATCCCTTAGTGCGTGTCGCTGCTCTGCTGCCCCAACCTGGTGGGGACCAAGAGTCGGCTGCTGTTTTTGAGAGAGCATTGTGATGCTTTTTTTTGGTTTCGATTTTGAAGGGTTTGCTCAGCGCCGTTATGTCGAAGCAATAAAAGCCTGTCTGAGATGGAAAACGGACTCTGGGACCTTTTTCTGGCGGCCGTGTCTCTGTCCTTGGAGTTGTTTAAGGAAAGGCGGGCGGCGACACTCGGAGCTGGGCTTGCTTGGCACGGTGCCGTTGGGTCATAAGGTGGCCGTGTGGGGCGGGTCGGTGCGGTGAGGGGCTGTGTGGGGCCCTGAGGGGAGGGTCGGTGCCAAATGGGGCGGTGCGGTGTGGAGCCGGGCCGTGAGGGGCGGGTCGGTGCGGTGTGGGGCCGGGCCGGGCCGGGCCGGGCCGTGAGGCGCTGTCCGTTGCCCGGGTGACCCGGCCCGTCGGAAGTAGCGTAGGGCGGGCGGGGCCAGGCTTCCGGACGCGCTGTTGCATCAGCTCGGGAGCGAGGGCAGGCGGAGGCAGCAGCAGCAGCAGCGGGATGGCAGCAGCCGCCAGCGCCGAGCACGGTAGGTGGGCACGCGGCGCCGCGGGCCCCCGGCGGGGCCGGGCCGAGGGGCAGCCGGAGTTGTCACGACTCGGTGGGCGCCGGGGTCGCGGCCCCGCCGCTGTCACGGCGGTGGCGCTGGGGTCGCCTCCCCTGCGCGTACCCGGGCTCCGCTGGCGCCCGGGGGGCCCCGCTGCCGCAGAGCCCCGCGCTGGGTGCGCGTCCCGCGGGACTCGGCTCGCCTTGTGCCTCGCCGCGGGTGTAAGGTTCATGCTGGCGTTCGACGATTTGTGGAGAAAACTCGGAGCGCTCCTCGCCACCCACGTCTGGGAGCAGCTGTCCCCCAGCTCGCTGGGTGCCGGCAGATGCTGGGTGCGCTCGGTCCGTGCGCTGCTTAGAGCGCCGTCCCTGCTTTTCACCTGTCTCTGTCTCCTGTACTGCCTTTCCCAAGCCATCAGTGCTCTCCCCTGAACTCACGCCTGAACTTTTGGACTTTTACGGACATTTTTTGTGGTCGTGTTTTAATGATGGGTTGTACTGTTCGCTTCCATATGGAAGGAGAGCTAGGATAGTACTATAATTTTTGGCGCTACTGTAGCAAATGAAACTTGGAATACCAGTCATGCAAGTATGAAATACCATTATGGTATGTAAAGGTTGGAAATTTCTGTCATTCCAGCTAAGGATCTGTAAATACAAATATTTTTGCCCCTTTTTCTTTGCTACCGAAAGTTACTTTGCTCTTTTTACATCACATATAATTCCCACTGAAGCGAAACATTTCTTGTTGTCAAGGGATTGGCTTTTTCAGAAGTCTTTTCAGTATTTTGGGGGGAAAAAAACCCAAGAAAGGCTCAGTTCAGGCACACTTTGAGAAACTCTTTAGTTACTGTTAGTTAGAGTGGGGTTTTTTACTGGAACTGCAATTGTTATATTTAGTTTCAGTTCAGGAAAAGTGGAAGTGAAACTTTCAGGGCTCAAAAGACTAGGATTGACAAGCTCTTCCTTGATGTGGGATACTCCAGTATTAAAAATCCCTCTTCATCTAAAAGCTTCTTGCTCCTTATATGTGAATTTTGATAAATCCTTTGTTTTTGTGTCTCAGTGTATACTGTACCTGGCATTAGTTGGAATCACTGTATTGGTTTGGTTCTTGTGAAATGTTAATGGAAAAGGAGATTTCATCTTGGCCGAGCAGATGGTTGGAATTCTTTTCAGAAGTACCAGAGTGGCTGGCCAGGATGATAAATGGGCAGTTTGGAGCTGTATTAATAATGTTACATTTGCTTTTTTTGGGTTGTCTAAAATTCGTGAAAGCTAGGTAGTATGACAAATTACATTTCAAAATGTTCAGAAATTGGTAAGACTTATTTTTGGAGAATGCCTTTGCAGAATTCCGACAACATTTACAGTGTCATCAGATTATGGTTGACAAGGTTAGCAGGTTCAGGGAAGCACAGGAAACATAATTTTTCCCTGAAGCCAAGTAAACCCCTGGTGTTGTGTTAGCTAGCTTAATGCCTACTTTATGGCTTTCCTGTATTTGCTTTGCTGTCCACACCTTCAAGGAGCAGAGATTTTAATTTTCAAGTTAATAAAAGTGGAAATTTTCAGTGAAGTTTGGTATTGTGTGGGTTATGTGTCTTGATTAAACCTCCGAAGTTATGTGCAGGTAAAATGTAGAAGCTGTCCTGTGCCTTTGAGTTCGTGTGTCACTGC